CGCCCAACTTGATGAACAGGGTCTCACATCCGGTGACCTGTGGTGCAGCGCCCTTGGAAGCTGAAAGAGATTTCCGGATGACAATTGACACACCTCCACCCCTGTCCCAGACTCTCGGCTGATGCCACACTCTGAGGGCTCCCCCCCCCCAAATCCAGCCAGATCTCAGTGATGCATGCCAGGTCAGCCCTCTCATCCATGATTAAATCACGGGTCTGCCTTATTACAGACTGACCTGGCATTTAGAAACAGCAGCCAGGGGCCAGAGCCTCTGAAGTTCTGCTGACAGGGTACCAGGGCTGAGGCTGAGGAGCTGGAACACGAAACGGGCAACAAAAAACGGTCCTGCGGTCCCCGGGAATGGCCTGCTCCCCGTCTCCTACTATATCTCCCCTTGCCCATCACCACCATAATATTTTGGCCTGCTTCCATCCCCCCAACAGCAGCCGCATCCCTATATCAACACCCCTCTATTCCCAAAACTGGAGAGCATCTGCTGTCCTCACCAGCCATACCTGGGAGGGGAGCTGGGCACCCTGAGGCTCTTCAGCTTACTAGCTCTCAGAGCCATCAGAGTCCAGCAACCATCTCCCCCACTTCATTCCCACAGCCTCACACACAAACATACACAGGATCCCTCCCTTGCTGCTCCCACCAGCAGGCAGTGGACACCCTACCCATTCACCCTTCATCAAAGTCCTCTGACTCTCACCCAGAGAATGGATTGACACATTCCAACCCACTCACACTCACACACACCCAACTCAGCATCCAGGAGCTCCTACCCCGCTGCTCCCACCAGTTGGCAGAGGCTCCAACCATTCACCCTCCCACCAAGCCCACCTCTGGCTCTCACCCAGAGAAAAGTAAAAGGGGAGGATAACATTCAGTATCAGATGAGAAGCCCACAGTCCAACTCCCAGGCACTTCACCATTAAATAGGAGTAGTGGTGTTTTCCTCCTCCTCCTCAAAGCTACCAGAGGGAAGCAGAAAGGCCTCCGCAGGGGAGGGGGGTCTACAGCTGTCTACCACTCCACTGAAACCTCCCCCCTGCCTAGCCTCTTCCTGTACCTCCAGAGCCCCAATGTCCAGATGATGAGCCAATGATAGCCAGATGGTAAAAGGCTACAGCACTCCAGAGCTCCAAGACACAGTTGAGGCAGCTCCTCAGTCTGCTCCCCAGGGAAACAGCTTGGGCAGTTTTCCAAAGCAGCACAAAGAAGTCCCTCCAGTAGCAGCAGCAGACTCCTCCAGCGAAGCCAGTCCAAGAACACTGCTCCCAAATTCAAAAAAGCCACCGAGGTCGCAAATGCTGCAAACTCTGCAAGCATGGGAACTCCAGTAGCAGTCACAGCAGCAGCAGCTGAGCCAGTCCCAAAAAACGCTGTCACCGAATTCAAAGGAGCTGCCAAGTTTGCAAACGTAGCTGGGGCAGTAGGCACAGCAGGCGCTGCAAAACGCACACTCCTCCAGCCAAAGAACTCCAAACAGACCCAAGCAGTCGAACTTCCATTCAGGTGAGTGCCAGTCCAGGGCATCCTCCACGCAACAAACATGTACACAGTAGACACATACAAAAAGCCTAAAATTACATACACATGAAAGCTTAAAATTAAAAAGGACAGCGGCTCCGCAGCTCTCATCCCCCTGCCATCTTAACCAGAAGTCCTAATATTCCATCAGTTGCTCTTAATAAATTTTTCTTTTTCCTAGAAAAGATTTTCATTTGCTACTGAATTGATACAATAATATGCAAGTAATCTTTCTTAAAAACCACCTAGGAACTCCTTTAAAAAAATCTTTGCACTGACATAACTTATTTCTGCTTGGACAGAAGAGTAGCAGCTCAGAGTCATTAAGTGACAAAGGTTCTACTGAATTGAAGAAAAGCTTTGATGCAGTGGTTTTTGATGTTCTGAAAGTTACACCTGAGGAATATGCAGTAAGTAGTTAACTAACATTCGTAATCTTATAGTCTTTTCATCCTACTTTTGATAAATTGTAGTGTTTGTGTTTCTATTTTTCTTCAAAAGAATTAAGAGGGGACTTGGGGAATAATCTGTATAAGAGGAATACAAAATCCTATAGAAGTTACCTATACAGTGCATTAGGTGAATCTGTTGGGAGTACTGTATATGGGACAAACATTTTCCATCTTCATCAGTCCTGTCCTCTATCAGGATTAACTATTAATATTTGTAGGGTTAGGGTTAAGCTTCATGTAGACTTTCAAATCAAGTCTAAAAAAGGGTTTTCTACCCTGAGGATACCAACAATATATACTTTGTTTTTATGAAAATGACTTGTATCCAGTCTTACATGAGCAGAACATCATTTATTTCCCATCACCATTCTTCTTCAAAAGTACTTTTGAGATTCAGAGAGCATTCTGAATGAAATGGGAAATCCGTTATGTTAGTCTGGATGTTAACAATTCTTGTGTAGTTTTTGCTGTGTTAAGAAAATATATTACATATAGATTAGTAATATATATTACTAATATATTACTGATCCCTAGTGTTTTGTCACTACAACTGGCCTTGTTCATTATTTATAGCAACTATATTTTTATTTAAATAATATTATGCTTTTATTGGGTGAAAAGGAAATAAAGGTCTTGTGGCCTTTGGAGATTGTTTTTTGAAGTACAGCAAGTCAAGCTTCCTTTTTTTAGTCTTTTACCACAGAGAATTCTTACTTTTAAGGGCTCATTGGAAAAGTGATCATCAATATTTAATTAAGCACTGTTGTGACAGAAAAACATTTCTTAATTTTTCCCAAGTAGCTGAAACGTGAAAGCCATATCCCTTACTATGATTCAATGTATATATATTGTGGGAATAGTTCTGGCCCTTTCCACATGCTAAAAAAATGGATATAATTGCAACAGATTAAGGGCTATGATATTTCCATATTATGCTTTGTAAAGTGGCTCTTAAGGTTTAAAAGATTCCAGGAAGATGACAGTAAGAATTATCTCTTATCCCATGATATAGATAAGACAGGAAAGAAAAAAGACTTTGGGCAAAGTTGTCTAGTCAGGTATAACCAATGCATGTGAGAACTTAATTTCCTCAGTACAGAATTTTGTGGCTTGAATCAGGTATACTTCAAAATAGTAAATATATTAATAGTTGTCTCCATTCATTTATGTACACTACATAATGATTTCTTCTCAGAATGTCTAAAGCTTTCAGAGCGTAGGGTAACTGTTGTCAACAGGAGCTTAGCTTGGCCTTCTGTGTTAGTTACCTAGAAATAAAAGGAGTATGTGCCAAAAGGACATACTTGATCAGATCCAGTTATTTGGGGTGAAGCCCATCACAATTCCATTCTTAAAGTGGTTATTCAGCAAAGCTAATTCCTGATGAGGTTTTGGTCACACAGAAACTGAGTATCTTGTAAAATTGAAAATGAAAACACCAAGTGAAAATATAAACATTATTTTGAAATATATTAACATATGAATGGAGAGTCAGTTTAGTATAGTAATTAAGGTGCTGGCTAGAAACCAGGAGACCATGAGTTCCAGTCCTCCATTATCATGAAAGCATACTTCGGGCTAGTTACCTTCTGTCAGCCCAACCCATAACACAGGGTGATTATTGTGGGGAAAATGGGAGGCAGTACCACCTTGAGCTGTAAAAAATAAAGGCAGGATTTAAATCTAATAAGAAATGAAAATAAAAATGAATGCCAGCTGCAAAACCAGTAATTAATTAGATAAAGTATGCATTTTATAGTAGGGATTCTGTAATTTCTTTCAACTCTAAAATTTTAGAGATTTAAAAAATACTTACTTTTTCTATTTGTACATACAATTCTAGACAGGTTATAATATGTACACGTTAAAACATTCATTAAAACATTCCAGTATTAATCCTTAGAAAATATTTATTTCTGTCCTCATGTAAAATCTCCCTAAACTAACATGGTGCCTACAAAAGATTATTTTTTTATTATCAACTTCCTAAAAAATAGAAAGGTGATGGCTATTCACAGGATAAGCTGTTTCAAAATGAGGAAGCTGACAGTGGGAAAGCCATTATCTGGGTTCCAGCCACTGGATCTCTCTAGAGGTCGGCATCTGCAGTACAGATAGTCCTCATTTAGCAACTACAGTAGGGACTGGAAAATCCATTGTTAAGCAGGGCAGTTGTTAAGCGGGGCATCACATGACCACACTCAATTTTATGACATTTTTGTGGCAGTCGTTAAGTGAATCATGTGGTCGTTAAGTGAATCACACAGCTCCCCATTGATTTTGCTTGCCGGAAGCCGGCTGGGAAGGTCGCAAATGGCAATCACATGACCCCGGGATGCTGCAACCATTATAAGCATGAGCTGGCTGCTAAGCACCCAGATTGTGATCATGTGACCCTGGGGGCACTGTGACGATCATATGTGCGAGGATGGTCGTAAATAGCTTTTAATACTGTTGTAACTCCGAATGGTTGCTAAATGAGGACTACCTGTATCCTATCTCGGATAAACTACATAGGGCAGCACATTTTACCTGGAGAAGGTAGTCCCTAAGATTATAAGGCCCAAGCTATATACAGCTTTATAGGTAATGACCAACCATTTGAAGTGGGCCCAAAAGCTCACTGGCAACCAGTGGAGCTTCTGAAGTGTTACTCTGCTGAAGTGGTTAGCACCGGTCAGCATGCAGGCAGTTGCATTCCCTGCCAGTTTCTGGGTCCCCCTTGGGACAGCACCACATAGGTCAAATTGTAGTAGTCTAACTGACAAGGGCATGAGTCACTATATTCAGTGCTTCTTGGCCCAGGTACAGGCACAACTGGTAAACCTATTAATGTTGCCTGGAAGTTCTTCTGGCTATACCTTCCACCTGCTTTTCTGGCAGAAGCCATGAGTTCAGGGAAAAAAAAACAGATTGTGCACCACCTCTTTCAGGATAAGTGGACCTCATCTAGAACAATAAATGGAACCTCCACAAAAAGAGAGGGTTTCTGTACCAGCAATAGCCCCATTTTGTTGGGGTTCAGTCTATCTTTTTCATGCTGTCCAGTCCCTCAAAGCCTCCACACATCAGATCGGGACTTCCATTGCATCTCTTCCACACATGCGATAAAGTTGTAAAGCTGGTATAATCAGCATATTGAAGATATCAGAACCCAAACTGACAGACGACACCCCCACCCCAGTGATTTCATGTAGTTGTTGAACAGAATGGGGGAAAGGGCTAAGCCTTGGGGTACACAAGGGCTCAACCATTCCTTCCCCAAGAACATTGATTGGAGTCACTCATTCAGGAAAGAGCAGAACCACTGCATAACAGCACCTCCAATTCTCAGTCCTCGCAGATGGTCCAGAAGGATGCCATGATCAGAAAGACTTGAGAGACTTAACAGGATGAGGAGATATATGCCACCTCTCTCCAAGTCCTGTAGCACTATACCCTGTCCATTCGAACAATCCTTGTCTTGTTGCCTAGGCATGTAACTCTTATATATGTAAAACTGGAGACCAGAGTATGTGTGAATTTTCAATAATGCAAAACAGAATTATTGTTCTCTGATGTGAAGGCACTATGAAGAAAATTGTTGGAAATTTTGCGGGAATTACTGCAACAACTTTATTTTACCCTTTTTATATCAAACCTGTTTTACTATCTTCCGTGGGAATTATAATATAGTCAGACAACAACCACGATGCAGTGTGGTTTCAGCTTCTCAAGGAATAACAGGCTACTGAATATGCTACTGAAACTATCTTTTTAATTAGTTTTAATATGCTAAAGCTGGAAGCTGATGGGAACATTTAACTCATTTATGAGTTTCTCTGATTAAAAACAATGCCTAGGTATTCATATTTTTAAGTTAATGATTTCTGTTGTACCCATTGCCATTGTTATCCTTGCATTGACTCTTATCATCCAAGGCATATTTAGAAGATTCTAATAGGGTGATAAAGAATGCATACAGAACCTGTGTTCTGAAAAATAAGAAAAGGAAATGGATTGAAATGAAAAACTCCACCTGGTTAGTAGCAAGGAATATTAGGACTGTCTGGTAGATTGAGAAGTTGAAAAGAACATCCTGGAAAAGGGGCAGTGACAAAGCTCTTCCTTACTGTTGCCCAAAAAATTGTCTGAACATTTCTATGTCTATAAAAGAAGTTGAGCTCACAAGTAGAAAAAGTCAATTTTGCTTTTTAATAGATTACATTTTTAGTGTGTTATGAGGCAAAGCAAAACTGAAACCACATTTTCCTTTTAATCAGAATGATTCTATACTGTTTTATAACACATACTTAAATATCTATTGAAATTAATGATGAGGAAATGAAACAGATATGCCACTTTTGATTGCAACTCTGTTATTGGTAACTCCTGGTTCTGCCTTGACTTACAAACGTGCCAGAGATAGATGGCATAGACAGAGTGCTAATAAAAGTCCTAACAGTTAGGTCTTCCTAAAGGACCTTGTTCTCTACAAACCTGTCCGGGTGGAATTGACTTTGGATAAATCTATCTTGCCAGCAACTATTTAAATGGGAATAAAATAAGTCCAGGCTTGTAAGGCAAGAACAAAATCCTCTCCAGGTGTCTAGTTTGCAAAAGGAATAACCAGCAAAGATTTCTGACTATAATGACATATTACATTTCTTTATAAATAGTTCTATTAGCAGGTGGTAGCAAAGTCAGTGGAAACGAATGGAGCCCGCAACGAAATTTGTTCCCAATCGGCTAGAATTCTTAGTAATTCTGGTTGATCATTCTGTGCAAATTGTGAAATTAAGTTATACTTTCTCTTTTGAGTTGTCAGTATGTAAGCTTCTACTACTAAGGTGTGCTTTCCTGATTTTTTTTCTGGATTGTTCTCATTTCTTCCTTACCCTAGAGTGATAATTGTAATGACTCACTGTAGGTAGGGGAGCATAAAGGTGGCATGCTGTTATTTTGCTAGGAATTGTTCTAGCATTAAATAATCAAAATGAACCCAGTTGTGAAATACGTACTTTGAAGGAACATAATTATTAATTTTCTTGTAACTTTTGTTTAAGGGCCAAATAACACTCATGGATATTCCTGTATTTAAAGCTATTCAACCAGAGGTGAGTGTTCCCTACAAAACGTTATATAATTTGATAGAAAACAGGTTCCAGTTTTATTATAGTGTTTTCCATATTTCATAACTTTTAAATAGATAGGTATAGGATGTTGTGCTTTCTGTTTGCTTTAATAGGATTGACATATGAATGGCTAGATAAATAAAACATTTATTTAATATTTAATGGAATAATTAAATGTATTTTTGCTGTTCAAATATTCTTATAGCTTGTATGGAGATGGGCCTGTGTAGGATGACACAGTCCAAAAATTAATTTTAAATAAGCACTGAGTATAGCAATAATTTGGCAATGTCATTAATATCCTTCATGCATGGCCAGAAATATTGGTGTAAGAGTTTGACACAATGAAACATGAGTTCCTTTTGTTCACTTCAAAATTAAACATAGTAAGAAATCTTTAGAGCAATCAGCTTGCTCCAAAATTCAGTGTAATAAGAAATGGTTTCCAACACGTCACAATGTATAATAGATCAAGGGGGAAGGGTTTAATTAGAGTGACAACATAGGTACTCTTTGTTGCAAAATTTGATATATTTCAAGTAGAATGAGAGATCTGTTGGGGCAGAAGCTGAGGGAGTTTTGCTGTACGTGGTTAGTTGTTACGCTAGTCAACTAACATGATACCTATGACTTCAACTCAACCCTGGCAAGATGGAGTGGCTTTGGGTCTTTGGCTGGGGGGGCCTGGGTGATATGTCATATTTGACTCTGGATGTGGTGGCACTCCCCCTAAATGAGCTAGTGTACAATTTGGGGGTCCTCCTAGACTCACAACTCCTGCTCAAGGAATAGGTGGCAGGCATGGCTAAGGGGTCCTTTGCACAGATTCATCTTGTGTGCCAATTGTGTCCTTAGACCAGGAGGAGAGGCCATGGTCACTCATGCCTTGGTCACTTCCCACTGCAATGTGCTCTACATGGGGCTGCCCTTGAAGACCACCTGGAAATTACAACTGGTCCAGAATGCAGCGGTGTGTGCAGTGATGGGTGTCCCTAGGTTTGTCCATTTACAGCATTATTACATGGCTGCATTGGTTCCCAGTTTCCTTCTGGGTGCATTTCAAGGTGCTGGTTATTACCTTTAAAACCCTATATGGCAAGGGACCAGGTTATTTGTAGGACTGCCTCTCCCTAAGGACATCTGTCTGTCCTACCAGATCAGGTAGACTGGGCGTGCTCCTAATCCCTTCCCTTAAGTTTTGCCATCTTATTGGACCTAGGAAGCGTGCCTTTTCTGTGGCAGCCTCTGCCCTATGGAATATGTTTCCCCTTGAGGTTCAGCAGGCTCCCACCCATTTAATCTTCCGAAAAGCACTTGAGACCTGGCTTTTCACTAAGCGCTGGAATAGGGTGAGATGAGCTTGTGGCCTGCATGGGAAACTTTAGCTGTGGTGCAAGGTCTTATGGTTTTAATATTTTTTTATTATAGATAAATGTTTTATTTTTTGGTTGTGAGCCGCCCAGAGTTTGGTACAAAATGGGTGGTTATATCAATGTTTTAACTAAATAACTAAATAAATCAATTACAAAATTCTGAAGATTGCTGTCCTTTGATCAGAAATAATTGTTGTCCAATTTGTGCCATCTTTTGTTCTTGCTTTTATCATTGTATTTTATTGTTCTGTGAACTGCCCAGAGTTGTTGGGAGTCAGGCAGTGTAAAAACATTGACAAATAAATAATTGTAGGTGACAGCAAAGTAAAGAATCTTTCCAAGTAAATCATATTTGCTATTCTTTATAATGTAAATACACATAATGTTATCTCTTGCAGCATAAAAAACATTATGCAGAGCTCTAGAAGAATAAGATTAGTAAGAAAAAGAAATTAGAGATAAGAGAAAGGAAAAGGGAATTTAAATTTAATTTAAACCTACACCACTCACTGTACCTCTCCATACCTTTATATCCTTGCAAACCATTTTTGTTTCACCGCATCCATACCCTGATTCATGCAAAAACATATATTAGTAAAATCACAATCTTTCTAATGTTTTACTATCCCTATTTTCTCTAGTGATGTACAAGAAGGCAAGATCACTGATACAAGGTTTTTATGCCAGTTTTCCTAAGTGTTGACCTAAGAAAGTGATCTTAGACCATAAGGGCATTTTGTGAAGAAGGCAAATCTCATAAGAATTTATCCAAAAATTACATTTCAGTCCAAATTTTCTCAGAATCTTTTCATATAAAAGGATGTGATGTAAACTGAAGAACATCATAATTCTCTTTGAATACATCTGCAACGGAGTTTGCAGTCTAGGTTGTTTACCTTTATTGATACTTTTAAGAAAAATAAGCATAAGTCAGAGAAGTTAACATTGACAAGAGGTTTATTTTTTTAATATAGGGTGAGAAACACTGTGAGCATCTTAACAGATACTATAAAAACAAAGGATGACAAATTGCTTACCAGTGCAGCATTTTGTTCATAGCTGCTTAAGTTGGAAAGGTGACTTTACAGCTTCAAAGGACCTTCTTCACAGCAATCACTTATTTTCTTTTCTGCATGTGGCAAGAAAACGTACCCCACCTTAACGATGCTGATTCTGCTTTGCAAGACACCCAGGGTTGATCTGGGCTGTTCTGGCTACTTAAAGATTTTTTGTCATGTTTCCCATAGCAACCCAGGTGAAGAGAGCAGGGAAGCTGGAGTGAACTTGAAGAAAGCTTTAATTCCCCCATCTCTTCAAAGTGTCAGACATTACTTGGCTTTCTTTGAGTCACTGCCTTGTAAGCTGGGGGTGAGGGAAGCTGCAAACAGTTTCTTTTCTTTTTATGTGGACTAGAGGATTAGGTGATTCTTAGTGTTTCAGGACTGTCTTCATTTCCCTCGCATACACATACCTACACAGAGACACAGTCTTCAGCCTCATGTTCCTGGTACCTACCTGTAGGCATTGTTTAGAATGTATATTTGCCATGTCCTCCACTTAAACCACCACAACATGCAACAGTGGTTTCAGCTACAGGAAAAAGTGTCTGATTATAAAATTGCTGGCATGCTGTCTTTTCACAATCAGAAGTAACATTAGTTTGTTTAAACCAGCCAAGGAATGGTGGCTTGGTGGACTGCAGCTGTTTATAACAACTGCTCACATTTTTTACAGATTCCAGACAAATTCTAGGAATGTGGATTGGAAGGAGAGGTGCTAGCAACTTTATTTCCTTTTTGCCTGCAGTGGGGATGAAGAATGTTTGCTTGCTTTAGGACCAGCTTGTGAAGGAGCTCGTTAAATGCTTTTTTGCACTCTCCTGTTGGTCAGTTGAAGAGAGAACACTAATTGGCTTATATGTTCCCTTGTTTCTTTTCTGCATTCCAAGATCTACTGAAGTGAAGATTATTGTTTCACAATATTTGTGTTGGGGATTTTAAATAGTGCTATGTGGCAATGCCCTTATTTGATGTGAGTGAATGTAACTTTGTAACTTGCTTTCTCCAATTTTGCTGATTTTTAAGAAATTCAACATATTGAATTGAGCTATTTTCCAAAATTAATCCAGACAGTCAGGAAATAATGTAGTCCCTATTGAAAGCTATTGAAAACAGGTGATTAAAATTGTTTATTTAGAATATTTGTTTGTTTGTTTATTCAGTTGATTTATATAGCCACCTATCTTGACATATTAGTATGTTCAAAAAAAAAAAAGTATGAATTTATCTCCTGTGACCATCTAATGCAAAATCTCTCCTATAGAAACTCACTATCAGTCATCTGAGGATAGAAGGGGCAGAATTTTCTTTTCAGATTTACAGATACTTAAAGATTGCAGCAAAATGAGATATGGAGATGTTTAGACATAGACAAATAGTAAAAAAAAAAAAAAATTGGGCTAAAAACAGCATATTTTGAATTCCTGCTGATTTTGGGATCCAGTCTTCAATTCTCAAATCTAGTACATGGTTCCCTTTTACCAGAATAGAAGCAGATTATTTTGCTTAATGGAACTGTAAGCATTTAGGCACTATACCAGAACAATTTTAATTTGACAGTTCAAGATTTTCAGGGTTATCCCTTACCTGATAACTTTCTCATATTAGGTAAGTTTTGGTATATGCTCTACCCTACAGGAGGTAATTAAAAATAAGAGGCTATTCAAAAGAACAATGGTGCTTTAATGCTTAACTATTGGAAGATAAACAGTTCTTCAACAAGCTTCTGTATTCTTTCAGTGATCTTACTCTCCTCTTGCAGTTCTTCATGATTTCCCCTCCATTCTCTCCTTATTTTATCTTGTCCTTCCTAGTTTGAAGAGTGTTTCCAGTTCTGGATTGCAGACAAACTCTAGACTATTCAGGCATTATGAATCTGGAGCACTGATCAGGTGAGCACATGGATAACTCCTGCCTCAGTGTTGCTCCACTGATGTTGAGTCCTTTGAAGGTATTCATGTGTTCAGCACAAATGTCTACAGGAGAGAATTTTCATTTTGTTCCACATGAGCCAGGGTCAGACAGTTCTGTCTAGTCATCTGTGCTAAATACATGAATGCTGCACGAAAACCAACATCATTTCAGTGACATTGATACAGGATGATACTGAGCTGGAACTCTAACGGGGTAAATACTCCAGTTTACATAATGTCTGAATGGGGCTACCTTTACACAGTTAATATGTTATTGAAAAGTCTTTTTTTTTTCAAAACAAACTCATGAGGATCAAATGAAGTCAAGGTTCATACAGAAGGCAGCATGTTTTGGCTTCTTGTTATATAAGAATCAAGTTAATAATAATACTTATTTACTAACATACATTGGCTGAATACATTAGAAAATAGCAAAATAACTTGAGAATATAAATGGAAAAGTACACAATTAGACTAATTTAAGTATTAAAAACAAGGTTATACAAGTTCAGATTTCATGTTCTCTATTACACGCTTAATGAATTATCTCCATTTAAAAAATACTATTTAATGGAAATTGTAAATAAAACAAAGTAAATGCTATTATGCTTCTGCAGACTCAAAGATTCCTGCATTGATAAAGACATGGCATTGTTCAAATTATGTTAGAATTCATAGTACTTTTACAGAAAACATGCCCAGAATTAACATTTATATCTAGCAAATCAGCCTTACTGGTAATATTAGGAAAAATGTAAATAACATTTTTTTCATTAATAAAAGAAGAACATCACATTTTGTTTTGGAATCTGTACACTTACATTGAATTGTTTCTTTCATTGTTAAACTAGGAACTGTCAAGCTGTGGTTGGAATAAAAAGGAAAAATACAGTTCAGCACCAAATGCAGTTGCTTTTACAAGAAGATTCAACCATGTAAGTTTCCAGGCTAACTATATATCATAAAGTGGTGCGATTAATAAAACCATGTGATCTGTTTCTTTTGTCAAAGTCTTAGCAGCCTTTAACAAATTTTGTTCTGTTAAAGCCAGAGATATCTCTATACTCACTTCTCCCACCCCTTACCCCCACCCTGGATGATTTTGCATAACAAAAAGCAGAGTGAATATGTATCACTATCTATCTGAATGAACAGAATGAATCTCTGCTCAACTGAAGTGTGAGTGAAATATTATAATAAGGGATTAATTTGCATCTTTTTAAGTGATTATGTTGCTAAATAAAATAAAGTATTTCAAGCGATTTTATAATGTGAAAATTATTGACTGATTATTTCAGTAGTTCCACATTTTAGTTACACTACCACCACTTCCTTTTTGTATATATTTTAATATAGATCTTTTTGTTTTCAGGTAAGTTTTTGGGTTGTTAGAGAGATTCTTCATGCACAGACATTAAAAATAAGAGCTGAAGTCCTAAGCCACTATATTAAAACTGCTAAGGTAAGAAAATCTTTAGGGGAGTAGTTTTAAACTTTAAAATTCCATTTCAAAAACCTATTATAATTTTGGTTCCATTTACTTATGAGAAAATTATTATTGTTATCATTTATAGAAATTACAACTTACGATAGTGATTCCTGATCATTGTATGAGAGTTGTAGAAGTAGTAAATTATGATATTGCTAATGAGTTTGTATCTTCCTCTGAAACTGACAGTATATATGTTGAACCAACCCCAAATTAATTGCATTTGTAAATAAGTATGTGTTTAAAAAATGCACAACTTTTTCTGGCTTCTACCTTTTGAATAATGTATCGGAAAACTTGATTTGTTGGTTGCAAGCTTCTCTTGAGCACATAATGCACTCAACAAGTGTTTTTTGATGAAGTCATCGCTCAGAGTCACTTTGTGTGAGATGGGCAGCTATAAAAATGTGATATAAATAAATTAAATAAATTTAAAAATCATTAATAGTATTAAAGTTTGCTCATATAATTTATTGTTATTGATGTCTGTTTCTTGTATTTATGTAACTTGTGGGCTTTTTATATATATGATCAGTCACCAGAATATTTTATTTTATTTTACTTGGTTTACTTTCATTTGCTGGAATTTTAAAATTATTTTTTATTTGCAACAGGTTTTTTTAGATTTCATTTCTTATGTCAATGTATTTTTGTTATCAGAGTTCTTCAAATAGAAATCTGTAACTTCAGTTCTAATGGTATAACAGATAGTTTATAAATAAATAATAAATTGGTAGAGGTGTTAAAATCTGAACCATAGCTAAGTGAACAGATAGACTATGGCAGATTCATGCTAATACTCTATATTTTTGTGTTAATTTTTCTCCCAACTTTGTTTCTCTGCTTTAAGTAATATTAACCTTAATTAAAAGGAGTATAAGGAAGGAGTGTGCTGCTGATCTCTTAACCTAGTTAAAGAAGCAGTTGTTCACTCTGCCCTAGGCCAAGCTAGGTTACACACAAAGATTACATTTAAATATTTGTATGCAGAGGGGCATAAATAGGATCTACACTTCCCCATGCCCCTCTTGCCCCCCAGACCCTAACACTACCTAATATATTCCCTCAAACATTTTGGGGAATCTTGGTGATAGAGTGGGTTGTTGCAAGGGGCTGAGGGGAGAGGAAGTGATTATAGAAGAATTAGCAGAGATGCTTTCTGTTCCACTCTCAATCAATGCTTCTCTTTCTCCCTTCTCCCCTGTATCAGAAAATACTCATGTCAGCAAAATCTCTCAACCCTCAAAAGAACATTATTTATAGAACCCAAGGGCAGGCAGAGAGAGAGAGGGTTTAAAAGTTTCTGCTTGGATCCAGCCTAACCTAGATTGTATGGAACAGTATGGCTGTGAAGCTTTATAATTCACTTCAATTTTATAGTTCTTTGGCGGTTATATTTTGGCTGAATTATCAGTTATCATTTGGTTGTGTCCTTTATTGTGCTGTCCTCTTAGAACATTGTTCAGAGATTGATGATTTAACTACAGTAAACAATTACCTGATATTGAGCTTCTTTTTCTGTTCTTGTCCTCAGAAACTTTATGAACTAAATAATTTACATGCTCTTATGGCTGTGGTGTCTGGATTGCAAAGTGCCCCCATCTTCAGGTTGACTAAAACATGGGCGGTGAGTGAATTACTCCAAATAATTGGTTTTTTATTAATGAATAGTAGAACATCAATTATAGAAGGAGCATGCCTAGCTAATGGATTCTATAGGCATCTGTGATATAAAGAAACAAAAGAAGAAAAGAACATGAAGGGATAGATTGTAAGACAAAATTTGTTAAAAATCTGGCATCTTTTGAAAATAAGGATAAGTCTGTTGATCATCACCGTCAAATGCTTTCTACTCTAAGAACAACTACAGTAAAAAAAGATTTAATCAAATAAGCCAATATGATATATTTGGATTCAGAAAACAGATTAAAGACACAAGAACTGCTCCATGAAGGAAGGAACTACAATGATTAATGTATTTGCAAATAACTGGAAAGATAAAAAGCAATCTTAAAAAAGGAGAACTATAGAGGAAAAAGATAACAGAATTTGAAACACACAAAACCAAGATCACTTATTAGGTCATATCTGTAAATTGTTACTGAAAAACGATACAGGGACAATAGATTGAAAATTGCATGATAACATAGATTCAGAATTTCAAAGAAGTAATTACAGTGGATCGGGGAAAGAGCTATGGAAAATCAATAAATTGATTCCAAGTTTTTTAATTTAAGGGAAAATTGGCATAAAATGTTTTATACATGGTATATAGCTCAGTTGATGATTGCCAAGATGGACAAATCATTTAACAATAAATGCTGGGTATGGTAATCCTAACAAGCAACAATCTATCATATATGGTGGTCATGCCAAAAAAAAAAAGTCAGAAATACTGGAAAGATATACATGAAAATATTAAGGAATTTTGAAAATAAAATTTGAATTGAAACCCCAGATACTTTTGTTAGGAATGATCCCTTAGAGTATATATGAAAAATATCACAATTTATTAAGATATATGCTGACAGCGACAATAATCCATTTGGCACTATATTGGAAAAGAGAATCTTTGTCAACGATACAAGAGTGTGAGAATACATAGCAATGGAGAAACTGACTGTATATATTCAGAACAGATGTCCAACCAGATTTAAGCAGGAATGGCTCCCTTACATACAACATATTACAGCAAGGCAAGCAAAGACATTTAGAATATGGTTTTTGAAGAAAGAAGTTGATTTTTAAAAGTACTAAAAAAAATGATTGAATTACATATAAACAACAGTAAGCAACTATAAAATTTTAAGCAAAGTATAAATAAGTAGTAATCGGTGGTTGAGAAAAAAAATTGAAAGAAAGGGGGAAGTACATTATTGAACATTTTTTTTACAATGTATTTTTTTTCACAACACTATCTTTTTGCATCACTGTACTTTTGTACAGTGTTTATGCAGTAATAAAACTAATCAAATACTTTACAAAAAACAATAGCTTTTTCTTCCTTAGTTACCAATAAACATTGAGAATAGAGCCATATGTGACAGTAGTGGTTAGGATGATCATTTATATAAGGGCTGTACCAATTTTTTTTTTAATAAAAAAAATTATTAAGTTTCAAACAAGAATAAAATACAGAAAGACATCAAAAGAAAAGCAGAAAAGAAAGGAATAGATAAAGAAATGTGAAGGAGAAAGAGAAAAAGGAGGAAAGAAACAGAAGAAAAGAACAACTTCTGACTTTCTTCGGTACAGTTATAAATAGAATAATACATTAACTTCTTACTCTAATAATATCAATAAAACACAATATTTCTATAACAAAAACCACTCTAAATATCAAATCTAAAAGTCAAAATTTCATTTCTTTCAGTTACAAGCAAAAATCCCAAAAGTTATTTCTGAATAGAAACAAAGTTAAAGAAATTTATACAGACATATTATCCTAAGGACCTTACCAACATTTGAAGTATCAGTTGATCTATCATTATTAAACACCTATTTATTTTCTGTAGCAATAAAATCCATAAAACATTATCATACTATTCCAATCCAAGAATAAATTCCAGTATTAGCAATCCAAAATCATAACTTGTACACTTTAACCTTGGTCCCATAAGTCCACTTTAAATTCCTTTTTCTTCTTTTCAGGGAGCTTGACATTTAATCTTTTCTTCAAGTGAAATCTCAAGTAGTGATTTCCTATCACTTTGTCCTTTTGTACCATCAAAGGTGCTTTCAAAGGTTTAATAAGTCCTTCCTGCGCATCCCAAAAGAGAAAAATCTCCAAAATACTCTTCTGCTTTATGGTCTGGATATTGTCAAAAATTTCTGTTGTAACTTTGGGCTTTATAAAAAAACTCAATATCTCTAGGCTCAAAATAAACTAAATCATCCAGCCCTCCATCCAAATCCAGATCTCTTATTCCAGTTTCCTGTTCTGAAGGTTGCCTTACTTCACACCGTGTAACATTGTCAGTATTCTTATTTTCAATATCCAGTTTTGTTTGCAAATCAATATCAGTATCAAATCTGTCTAGTTTTTTCTCAAAGACTTCAAATTTAGTTTCTATCATTTGTAAAATTCTAGTAGTAAGATCTTCCAGTAAATGTGTAAGTGTCTCTTTAAATTCCCTTTGCTGAACTGCAGCCCTAACAAGCCTTGGAAACAGAAAAAAAAAAATGGGTAAAAAGCAAGGTCTCAGAGTACTTTTGTTTAAAAACTCCTCCAATCAGCATTGCAGCAAAATAAAAAAAAGCAACTTTCCGACAGAAATGTTTAACCAGCAATCTCAAGCTTCAGTCTCACAAGTACAGATTTAAGAAAATTGACTTTATAAATTCCAAAAAACAAATTCACTTGTTTCATAGAAACACCCAATAATTCAGCCCTTCGAATCTTTGCTCAATATATAAATCCCAAAGTCCAGATCATTTTTTTTAAAGTAAGCATTGAAAATATGAAAAGCACCAAGAAGATACACTTACCTGTTGCTGAAAAAAGCCTCTCTTCATCTGAAAGAGTAATAGACCATTTAAAATGTGTTTTAGAAATGGGGAGGTCAGCTTTAGCATCCTAAATTTCGGCTACACCACAGCCTCGAACAGGATGGAAAAGCCCAGTCTCCCAGCTGCTCACCGCAAGTTGCTCACAAAGACTTCTGCTTCGGGGATCCTCACAAGAGATGGCTGTCCGGAGAGCATCTATGTTGATTTCATGGATTCTCCTTTACATCCAGAGAATTCTTCAGGCTACAGGGATCCTGCCCTAGCCCCCACAACTATGGCGTCGATTCCCAGACAGAGGAATCAGTTAAGCAGCCATTAGTCCTCCACCAGAAGTCCAGGGCTGTACCAGTTCTTCCAAAGAGGTACTTTACAATGTACTGTATAGGAGCAAAGCACCAAATCAGTAGGTCAGCTTACAACATAGCTGTGTGAGTCTGGAAAAAGATATGGCTGCTTTATTGGTTCAAAGATATATCTTTATATGGACTTCTCCATGTTGTGAACTACCTTTTTCATTTGCCCAGCCCTACAGTATACGATAAGAACTTGTTTGTGTCTTTAATAATTTTATGTACCTGAATATTCTGTTGCCCAGATTGATTCATTAGTCTGCTGAAGCTTGCAAAACTAGGCCACCAAGAGGAGTGCTACAGGTACTTGAAATTGAACAAGAGTCAGTTTAGCCAATATGATGCTTATGTTGATACTTTGGGGAAGGAGCGGGGATGAACTTTGTCCCTGAATCAATCAAGATTAAACCTTATTTCTGGAATGCAAATACTCCCTTCTTTTACTGAAGAGTGAATTAGCCTGCCTAAAAGAATTTCTTCTTGACAATTTGATGGAGCAATTTATCTACTATTCCTCTTCACCAGTGGGTCAACAAGAGACATGGTTGTCTTTGCATGGTCCACCACTATTGGCTTCTGAACTTCATGACCATTAGAAATCACTGTCCTCTTCCCCTCATTTTAGAAAGGTTGCAGAAGGCACACAGGTTGGATTTCAGGGAATCCTACAGTGTGATTCATATGAAAGAGGGTGTCAAGCCCCCTGTAGCTGGCCAACTCAAGAAGAAACAAGAATCACTTGGATTTCAGAAAGGCATATTTAATATTAGAGTAAAAACATAATCCAGGCAGACTTAAAGCAAATCAATTATGGCAGAGTCTTTTTGAAACATTTCTTTCCCATGCCCTCACCTTCACCCCAGGCTGGGTTACCTCTTCTTGCACCCACTAAACTCCTCCTCCCTCACCTCATTCCTGCAGTCTTTCACAGAGGGGCACAAACATTTAACTGCTTTTGACGCTCATTATGGAATACACAGTAATTCCACAGTAAAGTTTGAATACACAGTAATGAGTTATAGTTAATGAACACTCCAACAGTCCCAACGTGAGATTAATGCATCACATTTTTCCTGACATATTGGACAAGTCTACTGATTTATTCTGAAGATCGAGTTATATCCAATTACACTAAACAGGTTTATCCATGCAGCCCATACTCCATTTGCGATAGTCACACAAACGTCCTGGTTGGCCTTGCATTCCAACTTCAGAACCTACCAATTTTTTCAGATTGTAGGGGGAGGGAGTCTGGTGTAGGAGAGAAAGTCATTGCAGTTGGACTACTACTGTCAGAGGGAATGGAATCCCTATCCAAAGCTGCAGGGGAAAGTTTTGAATAGCAGAGGTTAATTAAAGAACACATAACCAGAAGAGAAAAGGTACAAGGTGTTTTAACTTCTCTTTTCCTTGCCTACATGTTAATACTTTATACTTATTCTCCTCTACTTTTTTCTCCCTCCTTATGATATTACAAGAAAACTCCCAAAATGCAAGACAGAGATAGCCCCAACAGTGGCTCTGCCCAAGGGGAAATCCCTGTTGTGGTCTCCCAACCCTCTCCTCAGCCAATTTACAGATGGAGATTGCAAGCCTCCAGTCGTGTGATGGAATGCCTAACAGATCTTGGAATGCAGAGGAGGCAACAAAACAGTTAAGGGAGGAAGCAGGGCTGTTTTAGAAGAGATTCTGGAGTCCAAGGGAAGAGGAAAGCAGAGAAAGAGCTCAGAGTAACTGTCTTAATTACACTAAGTACAAAGTATGTAGGAAAATAACTTTATTTTTTTATAGTTAAATTATAGTTAAAATTATAATTGCAACAATAAAAACTAATATAAAATAAAAGAATAAAAAAAGGTGCAGAAAAGAAAAACAGAAAAATAGAAAAGAAAGAAAAAATAATACAGTAAAGAAAAAGAAAAATATATAACAAAATGACTTCCCCCTTCATCACAAGTATAAACAATTTTAGTAACTTACCACCTTCTCTTAAAATACAACAAATGATCTCTTCTTCCCATATCC